TGATTATTAGATAATGTATTTTCAATTTAGGAAAAACATTGCAATTTATTTTCAACGTGATTTTGTGATGTGGCACTGAATATCCAAATTAATTGGCCAAAGATTAAAAACCTTAAAAAATCTCTCGGTTCTAAGATTTTCGCAAGTATTTCGGCTGCAGAAATTCCATTACCGTCGGGGATTAAACCGTTCTCCGACGATGCAAAATCTGCATTCGAGGATGACGGGTACCTTGCGAAGAAGTTTTCTTCGAGTGTCGAAGGTTCTTACACGGTTGATATGCGACATGCTTGTATGGTTTCTACCCTCCCTGACAAGAAGAAAGGGGAGATTCTGAGGTATTGTTTCATACTCGACTTTTAGGTTTTCAAGAATCTAAAGAATCGTGTTGTTTAGGTGTTATAATACTGATCTTAATCGGGTAAGATCTTCAGTATATCTTATTAATCGGGTATTATCTTTAGTATATTGGGTACTTAATTGAGATATTCGTGATTTTATTGAAAGATTTGATTTTGTCTCATGTCTGCACCATCTGCGCTAATTTTATAAGCCATTGTTGTTGCTCATTCAATGTTGTAGAATTTGATCTCTCTTGGTCCATTCAATGTTGTAGAAGCTTAAATGATTTCGATTGTGTAGTCAAGGAGAAACTCAAAGGGTTTGTTTTTAATGTTCATGGCTCTTGGGTATTGATGAACAGTTATTATTTTTCTTAATTGTGAAGTGAAGCCTCTGGGATTTGAATATATGTATATGAGTGTATATGAGTGCAATAACGGATTGCTTATGCATCCAAATGAAAAAAGTTTCCTAGTTTTTACAATAAAAAAACTAAGAAACTTTTGTATCATACATTTGGTAAAAATCATACAATAGCCTAGTTTTTACCAAGTGCATCTAAATGAAAAAAGTTTCCTAGTTTTTCATCCAAACTAGGCTATTGTATGATAAAAAAGTTTCCTAGTTTTTCATACACTTGGTAAAAACTAGGCTACTGTATGATAAAAAAGTTTCCTAGTTTTTTCATCCAAACTTTTTTTATTTGGATGCACTTGGTAAAAACTTTTTTCATTATGCATCCAAATGAAAAAAGTTTCCTAGTTTTTACTATATATGATTTCGATAATCTCAATGAAATGTATATTGATTGTCAAAGTGAACGACTTAAGTGAAAGAGAAACAATTGGTAAAATAAACAAAAAATCAGATCCATGTTTGAAGAGGAGTAAAGAGACAATGGAATCCCAATTGGTACATGTTAGCATTGACATTCCGATAAACGTAGTTGCTAGTAGCACACCTGAGAACAACAACCTGTAGGATTCCAAATGAAAAAAGTTTCCTAGTTTTTACGGAAATATAAGATTTTTCATGTATAGCCAAATGACATATAATACACTCTCTTTATTTGGAATCATGTAGATCCCAATAAGTGGTGCTAATTTGAAATTGTTTTTACTCACAGGAATTGTATAAATTGCACATGCATCTACGAATTCTTCTTACAAATTTATGTAAAAGGCTCATAAAACTGGTATATAGTGGTATAAGAGATAATAGGCCCTTTACTCCTTAGAAGATATGGATTTGGGCCATGAAGCTCTCAAATTCTTTTAAACCAACAGCTCTCAGTTTAACAAACTAAACTATAGTTAAATTCATGTGTTGCTTACATTACATTCTAATAAAGTACTTGCACTCTCTTAATTTTCTTATTTAATTAATAAAAAAACAAAAGCCACCAAGAGGAGAAAAAGTTAGTGTGTTTTATATGGCTTTTTTTTAAGATAAAAAGCGAATTACGTTGAGATCAAAGTTTAGGTCTCTGATAACTAAATGCCCATCACAAGGCTCTTAAAAGCTTAAAAACCCCCAAAAGCAGAGAGATAGAATTTAGCTTTTTACTCTCCTTTTTTTCTCTTCTGCTTTAAAAGGCTCACCCACTTTCTGCAATTCTTGTAAATAAATTAATTATATACTTTTCCAAAATCATGCTTAACTTTATCTTCCTTCCTGCTTTTGAGGATAAACTTTAGATTCCATGCATGAATTGATGAATATATCTACACACATATCCAATTTGCAAATATATTAATGTGGATATCTTTGTTGTGTGTACACATGGGTGTTTCCTTCAAGTGGTACGATTCATATAATCATAAATTGTTATCATTTTAACCTTACCGACAAATCCCTCTATACAGTTTTTGCTTAAATATTCTCTATTTGGATCTAAGCTTGTTGATCTAATAGGTTAGGGTTGAATAAAGTCAGGTATTTTGAAACTTCTATTTCTTTTAGTCAAGTCGGTAATTCTTTGTCCATCAACGTAACCAACACCCCTTTGGTGAATCACGTACATATGTTTGTATTCTTAACGTATTTTTGTTTGTTATAATTCAAATAAATAGAAGCCATAATAATTGGTATTATTACTTGGTATTGTGTATAGCGTATTTCAGAGGGTAAAACTAAATATTCATGGGTTTAGCATAACTACACCAAATATTGAATTGAAAAATTTTAAGAAATGTCACTTTTCAAAATCTTTGCAAAAATGTCATTTTTCAAAATTATTTTTTCATTATATCATTTATGTTTGGGTTAAATATGTTGTATTAGAGTTTAGTTTTGAGGGTGTAAGAGGTTTTAAGGGTCAAAATATTT